GAAATGCTACATACATTGTATAAAGTAATCAAATGTACAGTATAAAAACACTGCATATTCTTCATTGTGTAAATTAAATATATATTTCTTCTTATTAAAGTTACAAAAGCAATTTAGTCAAGAGCAGTGTGAGATTTTTTTTCTCTTTTGTTTGATTAACATGAATGACAGACAGCAGGAATTTTAGACTGCTGTCACTTTAAGAGCTGCCCGGATCCAATACTGTTACACGTTTTCTTCCTCAGCTGTTTGCTTTCACTTAAGACCTACTGTGTTTATGAGGATACTTGCAAAGTTGGGAATTTTGACACATACAAGTGTGTGTGTGTTTAACTGTTGAAGGCCTAAAAAGTGGCATAAATAACTCCGTTCAAATGTATAAAAACACTGCATATTCTTCATTGTGTAAATTAAATATATATTTCTTCTTATTAAAGTTACAAAAGCAATTTAGTCAAGAGCAGTGTGAGATTTTTTTTCTCTTTTGTTTGATTAACATGAATGACAGACAGCAGGAATTTTAGACTGCTGTCACTTTAAGAGCTGCCCGGATCCAATACTGTTACACGTTTTCTTCCTCAGCTGTTTGCTTTCACTTAAGACCTACTGTGTTTATGAGGATACTTGCAAAGTTGGGAATTTTGACACATACAAGTGTGTGTGTGTTTAACTGTTGAAGGCCTAAAAAGTGGCATAAATAACTCCGTTCAATACTCCCTTGCTCTATGAGGACCGTCTTCACATGTGCGCGCAGATGTAGCGAAATGAGTTCTCTTTCGCTGCTGATTGTGTTTCAACAGCATACAATCACTTGATTTAAAACCGCAATTCTTATAAACACATACAAATGATAAGATTCCGTGACCATGTAGCACAGCAACGTCATGTGAGCATGTAACCGCGATAGAGACAACAGTCCAAAATCTCTACCGGTTAACCGTGTCTACCGGTATATCGCCCACCCCTACCTGGGGAACCCATGATTGAACAAAACTTCTGGAAATAAAACAAAACAACAGAGTACCAAAATAGTGAAGTAGTCTTCTGATGCCATGTTTAGTGTTTACATCAATAATCTGACATTAATTTGATCTCAAATTGATTAATTAGCAGAAGTTATTACACCACAACCTGTGTGATGCTGGTTGTGACACATATGTGGTTAGTTAATTACATGGGCGACATTTGACTCTTGAGTCAGGTGGGCAAGAAATAGAAATATATATATAAGATAAATAAATAAAAGCAAAATATTTTTTTTTCTGATGTAAGCATCAAAACAATGCCCTACCGTATTGCAACGCATAAAAGCAGTCAAGAGGTTGCCACCATTTAGTAAACTTTGGACTAGCTTTGGCTCTTCCTGCTGACTTGAATGGTGATGCTTCCCGTTTGTCAGTTGATGGCCTTTCATTTTTAACCAGAAATGTGCACGCTGCTTTTCTGATGTTCACTGAAGTTTCCCATGTCTTTTTCCCTTGTCACTTGAAATGTTTCCGTTTTTAATGAAATCAACATATTTTATGTTCTGTCCATTGCTAATCACTGCTATTTTGAGAGTGAATCTCGCATAAATATGCTGATGTCATTCCCGAAACTTTGCAGGATGTAGCCTATGTGTCCGAAAAACGAAAGTTTCATACAAATTCTGAATGGATTATACCCTAGAAAGTGCGCAAAGCGTGCTCCCTTTATCACACTTATCTTCATCGCGATCATACAAAGTTCCGTTATAATCAGTGAAGCTCTCTAAACTGCACAATGAATCTCTTATTTACATCGCGTCTGCACTTAGTCATGAGATGATTCACGAGCGTGCAAAACTGCACTTAAAAACTGCGGCGCTTTCAGCGGTGAGTGAATTCTGACAAAACGTTTCTGATTGGCCATTGCGTTCAAGAAATCAACAGATATGTCTGTGATTGGTTACATTGCTCAACGCTGCAAAAACACGTTGAGGGTATTTAGCGCTTGGCTAAGCGCTGCAGCGGGGCCGACATCAGGGATTCCATGACTGACAATTGGGGGGGGTGTCGCCCATGGTTAATTATATAGTTAAATAAAATGCATTATACTAGTTAAGCAAACCACAGAACGGCACTGTGGCAGGGAAGAAGCACCAATCTTAGGAAATGTTAAAAAAAAATCTAGTTTATTTTGCAAACTGTATTCCATTTATCTCCATTTTTTTCTCTATGTAGTTGGAGGGGCGTTTGGACAGGCGATCAGAAGGTTTGCCTGACTCCAGGGAGAAGTTTATGGAGTTTGGGTTTGATTTCTGCTACTGGTCCGGGGATCCAGCGGCTCCCAACTATGCGTCACAAGAGGAGGTGAGCTTCCACTCTTATGCATGTTTAGTGTATCTGCACTGATGTTGATGTCACTGATGAGCTTGTTAATCTCCTGTGTCTTGGGTGGAGGCTGGTGCATGATAATCGGAGCACTGCAGGATGATAGCGTAATCAAAACCTTTGACCCACCAGGAAAAGGTCTGAGGAAATATTATCCCTCAGCAGAATCAAAACACTGCTCATCTCTGTGAAGGGTGTCTTCCCTACATAGTGTAAGATTTTGTTTATTTTAACCTGTATGTGGGTGCGCAAAGTTGGCTGGACGACATGTAGTTGTGAAAGCCCCCACCCCCCCCCTGCAATGTTGAGAATGCAACACTTGTGTTATGAATTGTTTTCAAACCTATATCAACCTTACATAGCTCGAGGTCTTTGTGTTCACATGCTTGCATAGAGAATGTTTTTGCATTGGTTTAAAGGCATTCACACCATGAACATTAACTATAAAAATAACTATATATTACTTTTATATATATATATAATTACTATATTACTATATTAGTGTCCACACCAACAAACAATAACACTGTTTATTATATGCTGCTTTAAATGCTCAAGCTCTTTAAAGTCAGGTGGTTTCTGATTGGCTAGAAAAAAATTTATGAAAGTGATTTAAATGATATCATTTTTCTGTGCCGTTATCGTTATAGTTATGTAGTTGTTGTGTGGACGCTATTCTTATAGAATTAGAATGACTATTAAAAATGTATAGTTATAGTAACCTTCATAGTTTTCATGCTTGGTGTGTGAATGAGCCTTAACTCAAACTTTCACAACTTCTCTGTCCTTTGTGAAGTAGAATTGATAGAATTACAGCCAATCATAAGATATTTTGTAGAGTGGGATATTGAAACAATGAGATTTCATTGATTCAGCAATAATTGAAACTAATTGAATACTGTTGGACTGCTGCAAAAACCACAAGTTCTCTCAAACTTCAGACCAACAAGCACGGATCTCATACACATAGTACTCACAGTTAACCAAGTTAAGTTAAACTAGTGAACTATATCTTTCCTTTGTCAGTGAACCTTCTCCTCAGTCACGCCCTGGTGTTCCCTTCAGAGTGACTTTGTCCACACTGTATGAAAGACTGAGCTGTGATGGCCCACGCACAGAGGATGACCTTGTCTGCACAACACTTTTCTTTCTCATCTCTCGCTTCCTCTCTTTCAATTTTGCCCAGTCAGAGCTTTACGGCAGAAGCCTGGAGCTTGCATTCCTTGGGCGGCCTGAAGCAAAGTCTGGTCAGAGAGACCTCTTTTTGGAGTCCTGTGGGAGGGATTCCCATCTGAAGCAAAATAAAAGTCCAGACAGCCTCATCATCATGGGTGCACTGTGATCAACAACAAAAAAAAAAACTTCAAGTGTCAAAAAAAAAAAAAAAACTTCAGTAAGATCCATCTTCTGCTTTGTGATTTGATATCCTAAAAAGCACCTTGTGAGCATGATTTTTAAGACAAAGAGTGTACTAGCTTGCAGAATTGACCCATAATTTAGTTTGAAGTCCACATGAAATAAAAATTGACTGCTGGTGTTTGTGCATGCTATCAAATCAAGTACAGCATAATTCAAAAGGCGTGTAGCTGTCTACATAAGCTAAGTGTTCATGTCAAAATTGTCAAAATTGAAGTATACTTTGGGCTTTAGTGTACATTACTAGTTTTGTGGTGATCAATTCATCCATGAAAGTTAATTCACAGGACAAAATATGTTTTGTCTTTATAAAATTTGATCAAAATCTGAAAATTTGCTTCCCCTCTGGATTGATGTTTTTTCTCTGGTGACATCAGTTTTACGCTGTAGACAAACATCCTTGAACCATTTCCCTAAAAAAAACGGCAGTTTGCTGTGAGCTAGAGATTGAGAGGAGGTGTGTTAAAATCAGGCTTCACCCTCTATTTTTTTTTCTCATTCATTATTCTAGTTCACTCAGAAATATGTCACAAGTGAAGTCTTTAATTTCACACAGACTCTAATTTTGTAATAACATTAATAGCTGATGCAAAGTTACCACAATTTTAGTGTAGTACCAGTAACTCTAGAAACTGGGATTTTGAATGAAACTTTGGTTAGCATGTAAATATTTGCAAGAGTAAGAGACCACATTACAGACAGGATAAATGCTTTTCTCTGTTCAGCTCGCTTTCATCTTTTTTTTAATTAAATATCATTCATTTAATATTAAGTTTGAATCGTTTTATCCAATTTAGTTTAATTGGTTTTTAGTGAAAAGATTCTCATGAAGTCTCACATGTTACTCCTTAATTGGATCTTCCTGTGAACTGCTGTTCTCTGTGGCTGCAAGCAACAGAATGAGACTGGAGCCTCTCCTTCCTGTGGGGTCTCCAGAGACGTCTCAGTGGACGGGAAACCAGCCATGCTTCTTCTCTCCAACTTCTCCCCCACTATTTCCCTTTAGAAGCCAGCTGCCCCTCCCTGCGCTTCTCTCTGTGCATGTGGGAATATACTTTCTGGGGGGTTTTTTAGTGGCTAAAAGATTGGTGGTTGTCTCTGGAGGAACATGTCTCTCTGTATATGTCCATGTATGAAGAGAAAGCAGAGGGCTGAGAGCAAGATGGAGAGGTGGAATCAGGCCTTGGAGCAGAATAGATAAAGATGGGTAATGGAAGCCAGCTGTTGTGAAGGCAAGGTTGGATCACATCTTGAATGCATTACTGGGTATTGGATTAAACAGCATCTAAACCATTGGTAATACTTTAAGGGCACACTTTTGTAACAAAATAACCATTTTTGAATTATTCTTTTGAGTTAGTTCTTTTTAAGGAACCAGTTGAACCAATGCACCAAATTGGTTGTTGATTGCAGATCTTAATATGAGCTTGCAGTTGATTTTAGGAAAGGGGCAGGGTTTATGCAGACTAAATGATTGGAAGGTCCAGCTAAAAAAATAGAATAAAATAATAATAAAAACATAATTTCTCACAATGAGATCAATAACATGCATTTAGAAAATATGTAAGGTGAATTTCAATTTCATGCTGACTTTTAAGCAAAATGTAAGTGCACTCTGGTAGTAAAAATAAATAGTTTCAAAGGCATAGTTCACTCAAAAATGAAAATTCTGTCATTAATTACTCACCCTCGTTCCAAACCCGTAAGACCTTCGTTCAGCTTTGGAACACAAATTAAGATTAGTGCTGTCAAAATTAGCACGCTGACGCAGGCGTTTAGTTTTTTTTTTTTTAGTTTAACATGTTAAAAATATTTAACGCAATTAACGCACGTACCTCTGCACATAAACAACACATGCACGTGATGCTGCTGACGTAGAACATGCATGCGCTGCGCCTTGTTTACGTGCAGAGAATACTCTCTATAATGGCGGAATACGTCATTTTGAAGAGAAGAATTGTTGAATAAAGTCGTTATTTTTGTTTTCTTTGTGCACAAAAAGTATTCTCGTAGCTTCGTAAAATTATGGTTGAACAACTGATGTCTCATGGACTATTTTATCGATGTCCTTACTACGTTTCTGGGCCTGGAAACATTTCAGTTGCATTGCTGCCTATGCAGGGTCAGAGAGCTCTCAGATTTCATCAAAAATATCTTAATTTGTGTTCCAAAGATGAACAAAGGTCTTACAGGATTGGAACGACATGATAGTGAGTAATTAATGACAGAATTTTAATTTTTGGGTGAACTATCCCTTTAAATAAAACAAAGATTATTGGAGTATGTTTACAAGAAAATTCTATTTCAGTCTTTCTACTTCAAAATTTCACATTTAATTCAATTCATGTTATGTGCGTTTCTTTGTAACTATTTGTGAAATTTACTAACATTTTCTGATTAAAAATGTTTCAAAGCCATTTTTTTAAACAATTATAAGTGAATCCTTCCTTATGAGAGAAAAAAATCCATGTCTAGGCATTCACATAGATTTTATTTCAAAAGTTATTATTTGCAGAGCTACATATTAAAAGCACCCGCTAGTATAGTGAAAATTGTTTTCCATGATATGTGCCCTTTAAATCTCTTCTATTTCAGTTTCAATTGATTTGATTTTCTCAAGTTTTCACAGCTTGAATAATGACATTTTTTGAGAGAGTTGAGATAGCATTAAACAAAAGATGAGTGTAAAGTAGAGCAAGGTGAAGGGCACTGGGGTCGCTTTTAGCTGCAGCCCCTCTCTTGCCAGCAGCACAGCTGCTTTAGTAAATAATTTTTCACAGACAGATTGTGCTGAGAGGACGTCATTGGTCCAGAGCTGGAGCACAATGCTGGTTTTATATAAAACATTAGAGACATTAAAAAATCTTACAGATTCCAACTTTTTAGTATATGTACCTCTTCATTACTATAGTGTGGACTTTAAATTGTGCTGCAGGCTGTGAAAGTCATTTACCCTAAAAAGACCAGCTGCGATACGGGCAACTTTTATTAGAGTGGGAGGAGGAGATTGATTGGCTCATTGGCTAATTGCAGCAACAGTTGGTGTCTTGGAATTCCTGCTGAAACTCCAGTCCAGTCTCTCACTCACTCTCATTCTTTAGCTCATTCGTTTTCTGTAGGCCGTTTCTGTGTAGCCCTCAGAATCCCCTGACCTCTTTCCCTCCCCTTGCAAATTTGACCCACATAATGTCTGTGAAAGTATGACAAACGAGAAGCGAGTTGAACCCCTGCCAATCAGCTCTGTGTCATTCTCTCTCTCCCACAGTCCACCCCACCAACCCTTTAACCCAGCTTTCCCTACAGTCGCATACAGCTATAAACAGGATCTCAGAATCATAACATGAAAGTATCACCAAGTCTAGTTGTATTTATTAGCAAGTTTGAAGGTCACATACATTATTTGGATCTTCTACTATATGTTAGCAACAATAACACAGTTTCAGTGAGATCGTTTACTCATAAATGAACATTCTGGCATCATTTGCTCATTATTTAGCCTTATGTTGTTCTAAACCTGAATGATTTTGTTTTCTTTTGCATGGATCAAAAGGAGATAGTTAGCACAATGTCCAAGCTGCTCTTTTACCATAAAATGATAATTTGTAGTTGTCGTCACCATCCACTTTCATTGTGTACATTTTGCATTCAGGTTTATAGTTTTGCATTGTTGATCTAGATTTTATATTTGAAAAATTTAATATTTATTACTTCAATCACATACACTATCGTTCAAAAATTGGCGATGGTCATTTGTAAACAATTTTTTGAAAAAAGCCTCTTATGGTTTATCACTCTCTCTCTCTCTCTCTCTCTCCCCTCCCACTTTTTCTTTTGGATACAGTGCATGACTTTATTATGCTCTTGGTATTTCTGGGTTTCTGTGTCAGTGGCGTGAAGAAAATCTCCACAAAACATCTTTACACACAGACTGACCATGTAAAATCAATTTTTTCAATGACGCAGAAATGAACACGTGTCTTTTGAACTTTATATTCATCAAAGATTCCTGAAAGGAAATCATGATTTATTATTAAGCAACATAAATGGGTCATTTGTAAACAATTTTTTGAAAAAAGCCTCTTATGGTTACCAAGACTGCATTTATTTGATCAAAAATACAGTAAAAACAGTAATATAGTGACATTACATTTGAAAGTAACCTTTTTGTATTTTAATATATTTTAAAATGTAATTTATTACGGCGATGCAAAGCTGTGATTTCTTTTAAACGGTATGGCATAATTGGTACCGTCATATTTTGTATAAAGTTTTTTAATACTGACTTTTTGATTTCATGTTTTGTTGGTATTTGTGTGATTCCTCGAGTTCCTGCAATGTAAACCATGTGTTTCTGTATTTTTGTCCCTGTACTGTATATGCAAGGGGAACTGACAAATTGGTCTTTGGTCTGGGATGGCCTTTGCCTTGGATGGGCTTCAATTGGCACTCCCCATGAGATCTCACAAGAAACAAGGAGTTTTTCAGAGGTGGCTATTAAGAAAGCCACATTAAAGAGCCTCTCCCCACTGTAGCGCTCCACACACTGATTACAGGCCTTAAGATTTTAAAGTGGGTGTATTACGTACTAACAGTTTATTAATGGAGTTTCTCTCCTCCTTTCATATCCATCCCTCTTTTCTACTTGAATAACTAATCTTGAAGCATCCTGCTTTCAACCTCTCTTTTACTACATCTTTAACCACAGCATTTAAACCCTTTAACCGAGAAGCCAAGACCGTACCCACGCAAGTGTTGTTTGTTATTGAAAGACGTCATCTCCCTTAATTTAGACCGCCTGACTCTTCCTTTCCACTGCCCCACTTTTGGGTTTGCCCCTCCCTGATCGAGCGTCTCCTCGTAGGGGTCTTTGGGATCACGTTGCCCGAAGCACTAACCTTCTGGACAACTTCCTGTCCAGAATCAACTCTATATTCAGCTTTCCTCTTGCATTGTGACCAAAAGTCCAATTGTTTTTGTTTGTGGTATGAGGATGGAAAAGGAGGAAAGCAAACATCAGATGCTTTTGTCCAAGGTTTCCTATGGCTGTACACATGCACACATTCATAACTGCATGCACAAACATAATCATAGAGGGGATTTAATTCAAATATTATTATTATTATTCTGTGGTCATATTGTATTGCGGTCACATTTTTTTTCTGTAAAAATAACAATGTGAATGAGGCAAGTGGAAAGAGATTTTTTTTTTAAAGGTGACTATGAAAATCTGACTTTTTCTGCGTTTAAGTGCTATAATCGGTTCCCGGTGCATCTACCAACCCAGGAAACGTGAAAATGAACAACCCAGTAGTTTTTTTTGGTAAGCCTTTCTCTGAAAACTTGTGAATGAGCGCGTCAGATTTCGCTCCCCCCGTGACTTAGAAAGCGGATCTTATTATAATATTACCGCCCCTTAATCTGCACGTTTCCACCCACGGCACCACCATTGTGTTTTCGCAAGGGACAACAGTGTACCAGTTCTAATGCCATGGCGAAAGTTCAAGCAAAGCATGCTAACTGTTCTGTCTTTGGCTGCACAGATGAGCACAGAACACTATTCAGAGTCCCAGCCTCAGAGGAGACAACAGAGCAGTGGATTTATTGATTTATTTACTGTTACACTGCTGCCACACAGATCTAATATAAACATGTAATTTCTTTCCCAGCTGTTTACCTTCACTGACATAACCGACTGTTTTTGTGTGTTTTTAACATAAACTTTAAGCGCAATAAGACATGAAAGAGTTTAGTACTCAGCTGATTTCTGTGCGTGTGCTTCAGATGTTTGCGCTCAGAAAACCGTATATCAGAAGTCACCGTATATCATTACCTTCTCTGAAAACTCCTACTTTCTTGATGGTGCTTCTAAATGTTTTTAAATTGTTATCAAAAGTGAACAAATTTTGCTTTTAGTGAAGTTATACAAATTACTTGTCGTGTGCCAGTTCACTACTTACCCACCCTAAGCACATTGCTGTTTAAGAAGTTGTTATAGAGTGCTCAGGCAAAAGTCCAGTGGTGACAGGGAGAGCAAATTAAAAGAACGTGCTGTGACAGTGAAAAAAAGCATCTTGCATGAGCAGAGTTCAGTGGAGAGTGAGTTAAGATGGACTCCTCTAACAAGCTCCCTCACTGATTCTTTCAAGCTGAAGAAGCTCAGAGCTCAGGCTAATTAGAGTGAGTCAGACAGAAGCGGCTGCTAGATGCTGATCGGCTCTCCCTGCAGACAGCATCCCAATTAGCCTCTACTCACACCCTACACAGAGACCGCAGCAGCCCCAGGACTCTTCTCATCTCAGCCAAATACATACCTGGGTTACAATACCCTGAGAGAGTCTCTTGTTTTGCTGACTCACTGGGTTTTCAGTGGATGTGAAGGTCAAATTACTTTCTCTCTCCCACACCTGTAGTACACAATAAGAAAGATTGTCTTTTATGCGTTTAGTTTTTGTAATGCTTTTGAATGTTCATGAAGATAGACAAAGGTGTGTGAAAAACAATCGTTTGGCAGTTGAGCATTAACCTGTTTTTCTTTTTTTGGCTATTAATACCTCCTTTAAGAGTTGGCATGTATGGAGGACCAAACCTGCAGAAATAATAAATAAAGAAATAACAGGAAAATAAAGAAATAAACAATAAACTCGATCAACTGCAGAGTTGCAAGATATTTTCACAGATTCACATTATTATGTCGAATTACACAGAGAAAATCGTGACCCCCCAAAGCATTGTGAGCCTAAATGCAGTCGTAAACCAGTTGCACCAAAGGACCTAGTTAGACCTACGGTCTACTCAGGCTCACAATGCTTTTTGGAATCGCGGTCCACTGGCAGTTGACGTCTATATTCGCAAGTTTAGGGACAATCTCTAAAGTTAAATACGACATTGGTGTACATGATTGTAACTTCAATAGCATTTGAAGAGAATGACTTACAGTCACAATACCAACTGTAAAGTGTTCATCTACGAATCAGGTATATTTAGCAATATTTAGATATAATTTGACAGTTTATTTTAACAAAATATCACAAATCTAACGTATGTCGTATGTAACTTTAGAGACGGTCCCTACACTTGCAAATATCGAAAGTCCAACGTCAAGCCAACTTTATGGCAGTGGGGTTGTTTTCTTACTGTACATGTCCAGAGTGTCAGATAGTCTTACAGGCATATAGTTCACCCCAAAACCCTCATGTTGCTCCAAACTTGTATGATTTTCTGTGGAACGTGAATGGAGGAATCTGAATAATGTAAAGTTACAATGAATGGGAAATGGAGCTTTTAAGCTTTAATAAATAAAATTGCCATAAAAGTGTCCACATGTGTTACATGTGCAATTCATAATAATCCTCCCCTCCAGTGGTCTGTTAATTGTCCCAAGGAAAACATCAGTCAGATTTGTGAATTAAACATTCAGACCAGTTTTGTGCAATTAATAAACCGATTCATTGAAAAGATCAGTCTAAAAAAAAATCTTTCACAAATTGCGATTATAATATCATAATATTCGTTTTTGAACTATTCCTTTAAATTTAAATTTAATTTTAAACTATTCCCCAACCCTACTATAAGCAGTAGTAATGCTGAAGCTTGCCTCTGTAAAATAGTGATGCACCGACATTTTTTACTGAAACCCAAATTAAAGTTTTCACTTAGCCAAAAAAGGAAACCGAAAATAAAGCCTGGGTAATTGAACTCTGCTTGCTTTCTAATGTGTTGTGTTCTCAAGTGATAAATTAAACCAGTCGTAATCATGTTATTTGGCAATGAACCGCCTGTCGATATTTCAGCCGAATTTTTTTTACATATTGCTACTCTAGCGTTATTTTTGGTCACGATGAAGTGTGTCCACACTATGTGCATGAAAGAGACGCTGACACAGCCAAAATGCAATATTGGAAAAGCTAATTAAACGTTACTGTTTCGGTCAGTGGTTTCGGCCCTCCTAAACTATTTCGGCTAAAACCAAAAGCTGTTTTAGCCGAATATTTTTGGTTGCTGCAATTTTGATGCATCACTACTCTTTAGAAACAGCAAAGTTGATTGAGAACTTTGCCCTCACCAGACATGTGTCAAGCCAGTGGCGTAGCCAAGATGAAGTGTAATACAAACAAATGCCAGCGTAGTGGAACATTCTTTCAAAGCGATTTCATTAAGACACAGGGGTTCAATAATTTTGAAGAAAAATAGACTGAAGGAAGAGAAAGAGGAAAATAAAGCAGTCCAAGTGGGGCTGGTGAGAGAGCAGTAGGTCTCTGTTTTCATTTCTCCTCTCCTTACAGTGAGAACGGCACACACTCTGAGAATCTCAGGCGAACACAGACGCAGCACATTCTCTTTGCTCGAAACCTGCACAAACATAACCTTCAGAGAACAGGCTCTCTCTCTTTCTCTCAAATAAACACAGATCAACAGTCACATTCTGTCAATAAACCCATTCAAAGAGCACAGAACAAGAATGTCACCTGTGTGTCAGAACATTAGACTTATTAATAGAAATTACAATAAAAAGTGCTTTTCTTAAAATGTGTGTGTCAAAAGTGTGCTTTCTCCACCTGTAGGTGTTTCAAGACCTGGGTGTGTGTGTCCTGTCTGGAGCTTCAGAGGGGTATAACGTGTGTCTGTTTGCGTATGGACAGACGGGCTCAGGGAAAACTTACACCATGATGGGCACTCCAGTGAGTAACTACTTGTGTGAGATAAAGATATTGGCGAAGCACTATTTCAACCTAAATATTATGTGTCCTCTTTATCTGTGCAGGACTCCATTGGACTGGCACCAAGGATCTGTCAAGTAAGTTACTGGCATTTAAGGGATAGTTCACCCAAAAATTTAAATTCTGTCATCAATTACTCACCCTCATGGCGTTCCAAAGCCATAAGACTTTCATGATTTTTGTCCCCACACAACCACATTTTGATGTTTCAAGAAGTATAAAGACGTTGTAACTGTAAACTTGAGGAGTTTAATTCATGTCTTCTGAGGGGACACAATCAATTTGAAGGGGTCTCCACATACTGTACATTATTGTTTCTCCTCTATGCCCCGCCTTTCTGAAACGCGTCGATTTTTACAAAGCTCATCGGTCTGAAAAATCGAGGTGTGCTGTGATTGGCCAGCTATCCAGTGCGTTGTGATTGGCCGAATACCTCAAGCGTGAGACGGAAATGTTACGCCGTCCTCTTTTGGAAGACCAAACAAAGTAGTTTCGCTTTCACAACGAAGCACACAGCGTCTTCACGACATGGCTGCAGTGTCAACAATACTACAGCGAGAATAAAAGTTACGCGTTCTTTCTTTGCGTGAACATTTTGGCGGCGTTATGCAGATCTTCCCACAGAGCGACGTAGGTATGTTGGGGCATGTTAGAACGAGGCGTTTTAGGTAGGTGTGGCTGACTCTTAACTTTTATAAAGAATATCTCTTTGGATTTGAGACTTTAGTCTTTGTATGTATGTTGATCAATGATCATAAAAAAGTGGTTGTGTCTTTTTGGAAGACTTGGATTAAACCTAGGGCCCTATGATAAAACGCGGTCGGAATAGCAGAATCCAGTCATAAAAATAGAATTTACTGTATAATGCAGAATGTCAAGGAATTTGCCAAACTGTGGATGAATAAATCAAAAATAGGTCAGTACACTTAAATCAAAATGCGATATGATCTAGTGTCTGTGAATATTAAGCCACAAAATACTATTTAATTATGGATCCTGTTCTGCATGTCTCTGTATGAAAAAATAGTGCAGGTTTCGTTTACTACACACATACTAAAGAAAAATGTAAATACATAACAGTATTTCTGAAAAAAAAGAAAAAAGTTTTTTTTTATATAAAATCAATTATTTAGAGATGCTTTTGATTATTAAGATTTAATGAAACCATTAAAATGGAATTCAGAAAATTAATGGAAAACAGAATAATACAGAAAAAAAAAAAAAATACATTTCATAGGGCCTTAAAAATAAAATTTTTGTTAAACTTAGTAAATTGTGTAAGTTTCATGATTTTAATTAATTAGAAATGCTTTTTGATTAATACAATTGAATTGAACCAGTAAAACATTAGAAGAATTAAAACGGGGAAAAAAGGGAATCCAGAAAAGTTAAAAAGGGAATTTGGGAAAAAATAAAATGAATTTCATAGGGCCCTAGATTAAACGGCTTGATTCATATGGATTACTTTTATGATGTCTTTTGAGCTATTTGAAGCATCAAATTTTTGGTTGCATGGACTTTCAATGGAGGAACAGAAATCTCTCAGGTTTCATCAAATATGACTTTGAAGATGAATTAAAATTGTATGGTTTTGGAACGACACGAGGGTGAGTAAATGATTTGAGTACGTGATAATGGGTTACCTCCTATGAATATTTTCTTACTAAATAAGCCTATTTTTTACCCTTTGTTAAAGGGTCTTTTTAGGTCTGGAGTTGAGTCTGCAGATGGACAGAGCTGTAGAGTTGAAATAAGGTGAGAAGGAAACCCTCTGTTTCTTTTTCTTTGACTCTTTCGCAACAGTATCAGCAAGCCTATCCTGAGAATGAAGCAAGATGTATGCCTGTAAGCAAAAGCAAATCACAACCTGATTTTCCCTCTCAGTTTTTTAGAGATCTATAATGAGCGTGTGCGTGATCTGCTGAGAGGGGCGGAGCAGAAGAAGCCAGCACCCCTGAGGGTTCGAGAACACCCAGAGAAGGGGCCCTATGTGCAGGGTGAGTGTTCACAAAAGCAAACGTAAAATGCCCTTCATGCTGATTTGTTGTAGAAAGAAGTTTGGTGAAGCCCTTCAAACAAAGTCAAATTACCTTGTGTAACCACTACTAATGAAAACATGAGGAAAGCGCTCACTGTGTTATAACGTTTGATTAATTATTGTGTATTTTTATTAAAGGGGTCATATGATGTTGCTAAAAATAACATTATGTTGTGTATTTGTAATGCAATGTGTTTATGCGGTTTAAGGTTCAAAAAACACATTATTTTCCACATACTGTACATTATTGTTTCTCCTCTATGCCCCGCCTTTCTGAAACACGTCGATTTTTACAAAGCTCATCGGTCTAAAAAAAAAAAGCTAGGTGTGCTCTGATTGGCCAGCTATCCGGTGTGTTGTGATTGGCCGAATACCTCAAAGCGTGTGACGGAAATGTTACGCCCCTTACCATACTGTGATGCCGTGTACCGTGAGCAGAGGCCGGCGGATTCGACGAAGGAGCGTCCGGAGGGCTTGAGGCAACCACATGTGACGACCCCGGGCTGGACTCCGCTTCGTCCACGGTGAAAGCCGATCCGGCGACCCACAGCGCGAAGTTTATGTATTTCCTCAGCGATATCGTTCTCTTTTGGAAGGCCAAACAAAGTAGTTTCGCTTTCACAACGAAACACACAGTGTCTCCACGACATGGCGGCGGCGGCAACAACAATACTACAGCGAGAATAAAAGTTACGCCTTCTTTCTTTGCGTGAACATTTGGGCGGTGTTATGCAAATCTTCCCACACAGTGACGTAGACATGTGGGGGCGTGTTTAAACGAGGCGTTTTAGGGGGGCGTGGACGAGTCTTAACTTTTATAAAGAATATCTCTTTGGTTTTGAGACTTTAGTCTTTGCAACTTTAGGGATCTTATCTATGCACGAACAGCTTGTAACACTCCAAAGAGAAAGGAAAATTTGAAATTGCATCATATGACCCCTTTAAAGAGGTAATTGTGTACATAAGTTATTCGTTCCTGACTGTTTGCATTTGTAACTCAATTCCCACCACAGCTTGTGCTGAGAGTAGCCAGCATGTATGACTGTATCTGCTCCGCCTCTTTCTTGTGCTCTCTCTCTTTCTCCCTTCTTGTCCAACACCCAGTCATTGTGTGTATTAGGAGAAAGCCCAGTGCAGCAAAGGAAGTGACCTCACTTCCATGTTGCTGCTAGAAGCTCAGTACAGAGGCATTGTGTATTGACCAAGATGTGTTTCTCACACATGTAAACACACATGTAAACATTAAAATATGCGAATTTTCTTAGCATTGAATACCAAAATATATACATTTTTTAATTTGTAACAATTCTGTTCATTCCTGACATATTAACAACCAGTTGGACAACAAAAAATTGTCCAAATGCTAAAATATATTGTAATTTAAAACGCACAAATGCACACAGCAACTGTGACTAAACTCGGGCCCAAAATTACACTCTTAAAAGATCAATTAATAAATGTTTTAGCACTCCAGGCTACTTTACATACTGAAAGATGATGATCTTCCTCATTTTGTTCCATTTCTATTCTCTAGCAGGAAGAGAGTGTCCGTGACTCAAATCATGGAAAGGATGATGATGTTATTATGCTGTTTATCTTAGGTCTCTCTCAGCATGTAGTGACTGACTACAAACAAGCAGTGGATCTGCTTGAGGAGGGCATCGCTAACCGCATCACAGCCGCTACACATGTCCATGACGCTAGCAGTAGATCTCATGCCATCTTTACCATTCAATACACACAGGTTTGAATCTCATTAAGTTGATAGCAACTGAAGATCTCTCATCAGTCTTTTTCAAATCCCAAACGGCATTAGACTACTTTAGTTGTGTAACTAAATGGCTTCTAGTCACACTAGATATTTCACACATATTTCACTCTAGACACTAGATATTTTGATTTATTATCCATGTGCCAAAAATGTAATGAAATCACCTTTACAATACTGTTTTTGTACAGTATGGGGTCAGTACGATTTTTTTTTCTAAAGAAATTAGTACTTTTATTCAGCAAAGATGGATTAAATTGATCAAAAGTAACATTGAACACTTTTATAATGTTATAGAAGATTTATATTTCTAATAAATGCCATTCTTTTGAACCTTTTATTCATGCAAAAATCCTAAAAAATATTAATCAGCACAACTGTTTTCAACATAGATAATAATAAGAAATGTTTTTTGGGCACTAAATCAGCATATCCATCACAGGAATAAATGGCATTTTAAAATGTATTAAAATGGAAACCAGTTATCTTAAATTTTAATAATATTACACAATATTACTGTTAGTCACACTTTATTTTAAGGTACAATTCTTGCAATTAGCAAACCATTAACTACGACTTTTTTCCTCAGTAAACTCCTAATTTGCTGCTTATTAATAGTTAGTAAAGTAGTTATTAATTTGGGTATTAGGTAGGATTAGGGATGTAGAATATGGTCATGCAAAATATGTGCTTTATAAGTACTAATAAACAGCCAATATGTTAATAATAGGCATGCTAATAAGCAACTAGTTAATAGTGAGAATTGGTCCCTATACTAAAGTGTTACCTCACTGTTTTTACTGTATTTTTGATCAAATAAATGCAGTCTTGATAAGCATAAGTTATTATTAAAAATAATCTTACTGGCCCCAAACCTTTGAATGCTAATATTCTTGTGAAAATAGTTTTTATTTTTTATAGGCTATTCTGGAAAATAACCTTCCCTCGGAAATAGTGAGCAAGATCAACTTGGTGGACCTGGCTGGCAGGTTAGTGTTTTAGTTTAAACTTAAACCAAAGTCTCCTAGTTTAAAATCCAGAAAGCTGCATTCACTGACATGAAACAATGATATGTGGCCAAGTTGCCCTCTGGTGGTTGATCACATAATGGTGAACAGTAAAGTGCTAACTTGACTTGAAATATCACTCTTTGTGCTGTGTCAGTGAACGAGCCGACCCTCAATACTGCAGAGACAGAATAACAGAAGGCGCCAACATCAACAAATCTCTTGTCACCCTTGGCATCGTCATCTCCGCTCTTGGTAGGCACTGGCCTTATTTATTCTACTAATCCCCTCTTATCTTCCTTGTCATGACTTTGCACTTTGTTTTTCTAGCCCAGAACTCTCAGATGTTCAGCAGCAGTCAGAGCATTAACAGTGTGCTCAGTGAGGGTGAAGGGAGCACTGTGGGTAGTCAGTCCAGCTCTCTGTCAGGCAGCGGGCGCAGACAATGCTTCATTCCCTACAGGGACTCTGTCCTCACCTGGCTTCTCAAAGACAGTCTGGGCGGCAACTCCAAAACCATCATGATTGCAAGTAAGCCATTCAGAGTCAAGATTTGCTGCATCGGTTTCAGTGCTAGTGGAATTGATTCTGAGATTCATTTTCCTCCAGCTGTCTCACCATCCAGCAGCAGCTACAACGAGACTCTGAGCACCCTCCGCTATGCAGCTCACGCCAGGAACATCGTCAACAAGCCAAGAGTCAATGAGGTGTGTTCAGATGTGTCCAAATGTTTGTAGAACTTGCTGTACCACCATCAACAGAAAATTATGTTAATGAAACTAAAATAAAACATTTTGTTTTATCTCAGGATGCCAATGTGAGGTTGATCAGAGAACTGCGAGAGGAAATTGATCGTCTGAAGAGCATGCTGCTCAGCTTTGAAATGGTACCAAACTTTAAAGGAATAGTTCACCCAAAAATGAAACTTCTGTCATTAATTACTCACCCTCATGTCGTTCCAAACCTGTAAGACCTTCGTTCATCTTCGAAACACAAATTAAGATATTTTTGATGCATTCCGAGAGCTCTCTGACCCTCCTATTGACAGCAAGGATCCTTACACAATCAAGTCTCAGAAACGTAGCAAGGAGATTGTCAAAATAATCCATGTGGCATCAGTAGTTCAACCGTAATTTTACGAATCTACGAGAATACTTTTTGTGCGCAAAGAAGAAAAAAAAAAGATTTTATTCAACTATTCGTCTCCTCCACGTCACCCTGTAGCACCATTTTGTAGCACAACGTATGCTGTTATGTGTCAGTACGCGGATACGCTGTTTACGTTGTTTATGCTTTGATCTGAATGTAAACAACGTATCCGTGTACATGCGTTGCATACGTTGTTTACGTATGTGATACTCTCCAAAATGGCGCTATATTTTTTTAATAAAGTCGTTATTTTTGTTTTCTTTGCGCACAAAAAGTATTCTCGTAGCTTTGTAAAATTACGATCGGACCCCTGATGCCACATGGATTATTTTACCGATCTCCTTGCTACGTTTCTGAGCCTTGATCGTGTAAGGATCCTCGCTGTCTATGGGAGGGTCAGAGAGCTCTCGGAATTCATCAAAAATATCTTAATTTGTGTTCCGAAGTCTTGCGTGTTTGGAACGACATGAGGGTGCGTAATTAATGACAGAATTTAAATTTTTGAGTGAACTATCCCTTTAACAGCTCAAACAGACTAAGTACAACATACGTATTGGCTATCAAGTAATTAGATTACAAATTAGTTGTATTGAGTGAGAATTTGACAAATGAGATTTCAATGTGGGCTGGACTACTTTGCACCATCAACAGTAACAAAACCAAGTCTTGTTGTCCTGTGCTGTTTACTGTTGCAGTTGGTTAGGATTAGGGCTGCCGAAACTCTGTGCTTGCCTTACATACATGAAACATATATCTATAGCGAAATGTCTACTTTTAAATGAACCAATTCAAATGGAAAACAAATTTTCAGATTATGTAATCTGATTATGAAACATGCATATCAACTGTGGAGTCAGTGTCGTCGGCTTCATCACTGAAGCCAAAAATACAGAAAACACTAGTTTGTCAATGAATTATTATGATGTTAAGGCAGTCTTCTTGCTGTTTTTTCCCTAAAGTATTCATAATCATTTCTTCTGTGGTGCACTGTTGCAAGCTGACTATAGGCAATTAAAGGCTCATTATTATGAATTGCATGGTTTATTAATATAAGCGTGCGATTAGTCGACTAATCGCTTAAAATGAACGGCTATTAGTCGATCAGAAAAATCTTTAGTCAAGGACTAAGCACTAGTTAGGATTAAAATGGAATGGACACTGGTCAGGTGCCTGGTTAGGACATGGTGTTACAAAGCCAATGATTTCCATATTCATCTAAAACAAAAGTTGTGCAAAAGTGACTGATAATTGTCTTTTCCATCCACAGCAAAGGAATCCCAGTCCATCTCTCAGTGATGAGAAAGAAGGTAGCTTGTCTGATATAGTCCTACAGAATGAACTGAAGGTTAGTCCACCTACATGAAATACTGGAGTCTGATATTAATTCTGAGCTAGTTCTGTAGGAGCTCTTATTTATGTACAATGCTTGTTAAAAGGTTGGGGCCAGTAAGATTTTTTATTTTTGAAAGAAGTCTCTTACACTCACCAAGGGTGCATTTCATATCTTGCAATGAGACTTTATATATCAGGATCGCAGCTTGGTTTATTGTAATTACTCACAATTTTACTTTAAATCAAGTCAAGTCAAGTTGAGCTTTATTGTCATTCCGCTACATGTGGGGACATACAGTGGAACGAAATGTCGTGCCTCACAGGACCACGATGCTACATAAATACAGACATACAACAATGAAGTAAAACAGTATAAACCTATACACAACTAACCTACTGACAGATTTTGACTATAAATATACTATATATAAATGGTTACCTATACATAAAAGATACAAACTATACAAATGCTTCACATAAATACTGTAATTGTGCAAAGAGAAACATTGTAAGTCAAGCAGCTGGCTGGGGAACAGTGCAGGATGATTTGTAGTGCATGAGCATGTATGTATGTATCTCGCAATTGCGACAACTTATACTTGCATCTCTATCTTACAGTTGCAGCTTTCTTGTTATTTTGACCTTATATTTCACAGTGTGATTTTATATCTTGTAAATTTTACTCTTTATCTTTCAATAGCAACATAATGTCTTGTAGTTGTGACATATACTACACAATGTGACTATATCAATTATGGCTTTGATTCTCATAATTAAGTCTTAATTCTCATAAACAATCAGCTTGTAACACTCCAAAGAGAAAGGAAAACTTGAAATCGCATCATATGACCCCTTTAAGGCTCATTACTTTACATGATTATTAAAGCTCATTATTTAAAAAAAAAAACATTTTAAAATGTAGTTAATGCATTCCTTTGGCAAAGCTGAATTTTCAGCAGCCATTACTTGTCTTCAGTGTCACATGATCCTTCAGAAATCATTCTAATATGCTGCTTAATATTTCTGTGGAAACGGGACTTTTTTCAGGATTCTTTGATGAATAGAAAGTTCAAAAGAACAGCATTTATTTGAAACAGAAATCTTTTGTGACATAATAAATGTATTTACTGTCACTTTTGATCAATTTCCAGACTTTTGAACGGTTGTGTAAATTGTATTGTGGGTCTCCTTAGGATGATTTTACTTTTATTTTCTACAGAATTCATTTTTTTATGTTTTTTTTTTATTTCTTTATCATTATCATTCTTGTTTTTTTCACAGTTAACTTTTCACCTGCTAATTTTCAGTCGCTCATGTTTCCTCTGCAGGTGGAGCAGCTGACTAAGGACTGGTCTGACAGTTGGCGTGATAAGCGAGCCCTGTTGGAGCGCTACAGTGTGGACATTAATCAGGACAGAGCAGGAGTTCTCATTCACTCGCTCTTGCCCCACCTCATCGCTCTAGAGCCAGACGTCCTCAGCACAGGGGTCACCATCTACCACCTTCGGGTAGAATTATTCAGCTAGTTACTATAGTTAGTTAGTACACATTGCTTTTTCCTGTCACATCCTTGTAACCTTCAGCTAGCCTTTTCTCTACAAAATCCTTTGTCCTTTCGGGTAATTAACCTATGATTCTTTCTCTTTTCCCTCCAATAGATTCTCCCTTCACTTCTCTTCTATCTTTTCTACTCTTGTTCTGTGTGCAAAACTCTTGAGATACCTCTCACAGGAAGGTAAAACAGCCCAGAGCTTTGGTCATGTGGTCCAGACATTCCCTCCTCTTCTTTTCACTTTCCTCTTTCATACTTTTGTGTGATTGTGCAGGAACATTTTAGTGAGAGTTACTCAGTGGTGTTTACGTAAATCTGTGCTAAGAGGTTGGTCCTGATAGCCCATAAAAGGTTTACGGCTGTGCAATTTCAACAGTTTCCTTGCTTTGAAAAGCTAAAGCCACCTGGGAATGATTGTGCGCCCATGTGTCCGGGGTTATATAAGCAGGTATTTTATCCTTCATAAACAGTAGACAAATCCTTTGCTTGGCTTTGAGGTGTATAAGGAACAAAAAATAAGACATGGAAGAAGAAAATGTTTTATTTTGGACTAAATCCTCTTAACGACTTCTATTAATGTTTGTTTTATTTTGGTGCTACAGGAAGGGGTAACAAGAATCGGGCCTCAGGATGACAATCTGGAAGAGCCTCACATAGGTATCTCATATTCATCTCAGCATCTTTAAGTACTATGGTCTATTTACATCTGGTAATAACAGCATTAAATAGTGCTGCAGGGATGACGTATTTTTGTAGGCCAAAAACCAGAAACAATTTTAGAACTTCCAGTTCCATCGTCCCAAAATCAATGGGTTTTTTGAATGGGTGTTTAGTTAAATGCCTGAAATATCGCCTACAGTTAATACAAGCATAAGACATTTTCACATTTTATTCTAAGGCCCCTTGTGACATTTTTAAAAAAGCTTTTACTTGTCTTAAAAAAGATGGTTGCTAACAAGTGACTAAATGAGACTACAGAGGTTGTCAGTGATACCGTCATCACTCATCTACTTAGTTCACTTTCACAGCCTCCTTGTGTTTGAGCATTCTCTTGCACACTTATTCAAACTGATTCTAACTCAAAATTTCAGTAAAAATGTTTGTTTTTTATTATTATTATGTTTTTTTTTTCTTCATATAAATGAAGTCTGGAATTCAGAAGCTGAAAGTCTGAGTTGTCAGAAGCTTGGTGGTGGTGACGTTGAAGCCATGCAACCGTGGTGTTGATTATTTATAGGCTACATTTAACATTTGACTTCTGGCGACTATATTCATTTTTTCAAGTTGTGTTCATTTGTGAAGATTATCATGATAAACAAAACATGTAATGTAAGTATAATAAACATTTGTTTGTCTCAGAGCTTATTTTCTGCAATAATCCAAAAGCCAATGGAAATATCTTGTTGGGTTGGCCTACAAAAATATGCCATCGTTGCAGCACTCTGTACTAGTGTAAATGGGATCCAAAGCATCGTGTGATCCGATCACTCAAACCACTTTCGGAGGTGGTCAGGGACGCATATATACAAAAATAGTCTGTTAAAGTCCTGTTTAGCAATATATTTGTTTTAAGTGGACAGCAGTGATTGACTTGCTCCTCAACCCCTCAGTCTTGCCAGAAGGTTCCTCCTGCGAGATTGAGAATAAGAGTGGGGTGGTGACTCTGAAGCCGGTCTCAGGGAACATCTGCATAGTCAATGAAAGAGAGATCAATGAGCCCTGCAGACTTGCACAAGGTAAATGAAACGTTCAAAATACAAACCATTATACCCAATTCATGTAAAATAAAATCCAAATAAACAAAACAAAATAATATATTTACATTAGTAGATACTGGGAGTATCCTGATGTATCACTGTACATCTCTATTTCCCCTAAGGTGCAGTGATTACCTTAGGAGGACTCCATAAGTTCAGGTTCAACCACCCTGCAGAGGCAGCTATTCTGAGGGAGAGAAGACGGGTACAGTACATGTTTTGTAATGCATATATCCACTAAAATGACCTTGAGATTAGATGGCTAAAGCCATTTTGCAAAAATGGCTCAGAAAATTCTAGTTAGTTCTGGAAAATGGAATAGCATCGCTTGTTTGTGAATGCTACTTGTTTTGATATTTTGCATCTAGTACTATGTCATTCAGACATTAAGTATGACTTATTTATGCTTTAGACATTTTTTAAGTTGTCAAAAGAGACTTTTTAAAGGGTTAATTCACCCAAAAATGACAATTGTTATAATTTACTCATTAAACATGATGATTAGACATTGTTACATACCAGAATTTTTTTTTGTTTTATAAAGTTACTACATTAAAACATAATGCACAAAATTTAGTACTTAGAATTGCTTGAATTAGCATTACTGTATATATGTACTATATATATCAGTGCTTCCCACAGACTTACACTCTATGTGTGGCGGCACTTCCCCTGGGGAAAATTTTTTTTTTTAATCTATGTAGACCAGTGATGGAGGTCTGGTCAACAACTCTACAGAGCTCAACTCATCCAGTTCTGATTTAAGGTAAATGTTTTGTTCATTCAAGAGCAGTACATTTTTGAACCATAGATATATTGTACAAGTTCATGGTGTTTCTAAATGTTGAACTGGTAATGAGCCCTCTGGAGAAACTGTTGTTTATAGAGTTTGCATGGTGTTGCTTGGTTACTATAGTGAGAATGCAGACAACAAAAGAAAGGAGGGATGGAAGTAAACTAGTTTGTTTGCTGTGTTACTGTAACTTTCTTTAGATCTTTTGTTTCAAATTTTCCAGAACTAGTGGTCATATATCTGGTTGGCTGGTGCATCAATCTCCAGCGTATGAGTTTGTGTCTGTTGTGTGCTCAGGGTTGCAGAAGCAGGTTGTCATGAGAACGGCAATGGGACGGCTCCCAGACAGCGACTAGAGGAGCAGCAGTGGTACATAGAGTGTTCATTGTACTTCAATTAATACTGTGTGATAGGAATTGTTTTGGTTTTCTAATGGTTACAAGTAGTGGATTCGTTAAACTTTGGACATTTTGTCATGTTTCAAATTGGTACTCTTTCAGCGTTTCCCACAGACTTACACTCTACTTGTGGTGGCACTTCCCCTGGGGGAAATATATATGTATATAATGTAAATATAAAACAGCAGACGGGCTTATTGAAAGTGCAAATTCATTCCCTGCCAGCAGGAGGCGCATTTGGAGCAGCAGAAATAGCGGTTTCCCCGGTAACGGCTGTAATCATTGCAGCGCTGCGCTCATGAATGCTACTTTATCAGGCATTATAGGAAAGATTAAATGAAAATGACATCAAAACTTTTCTGAAGACAATCGGTTCCCTTCAAAAAAGATACATTCATATAAAAATGCCGCGGTTGTCATGAGAACGGCAATGGGACGGCTCCCAGACAGCGACTAGAGGAGCAGCAGTGGTACATAGAGTGTTTACGAGAGGAGATTCAGATGGAGCAGAAAAGAGCGGAGAGAGATCTGGAAAGAGAGCAGGCACGTCTCCGACAGCAGCACACTGAGAGTGAGTTGTATTCAAATGCATGTTTAGCATTCAGAAAGGTTTAAAATATATAAAATGCTCTTCAGTAAGTAACTTTATTTCTCCTGAAATGTAGGCTTTTAAGAAATGGATTAAGACATTGGTTATATTTTACACACTTTGTGCTGAGATATTTTTATTTTGGCAGCACATACACAGTCTTAAACAAAGCTTAAAACAAATGAATATTGAATAAGTGACAATTAGAAATCGTCCAAATTTCAAATATAAAGCCTTACCTTACTCTAAACTCTGGTTTCTTTTGCATCTAAAGTCAAGCAGTGGATCGTGCAGGAAAAGCAACGGCTTGAAGCCCACAGGGAAAAGGGAACATTGGAGTCAGGGGTTCAGACAGATCTCATACTTCATAGTGGATTATCAAGTCAGATGATGAAGGAGAAAGGCAGTGCTGAAAGAGTCCCACCATCACCTTTAATGGGTGACAGGAAAAGAGTGGTGCAGGAGGAGCTGCTGAAGCACCATGCATTGCGCAGAGCTGAGAACCGTGTGCGCCGCAAAAGGTTACATTACCAACTGGAGAAGATTGCACGAAAGCGCCATCTGTTGGAGGCGAAGCGAGTGCTGCAAAGGCTAGAAAATGAGCTTCTACAAGGGGGCGATGAAGCCTCATCTCCATACCTGGGCTACTCCTCAAAGTCCAGGGGACGTCCAATGACTTTACGAAGGCATTCATTTTCTGCTGATCTGCTGTCCCGACTGTACCCCCAGCACACTCCTATTTGCAGGTGGGTGTAATCATTTGCTGAGTGACGAAAGGCTCTAAAGGAAGGGTTGTGTGGAAAGCTCTTATATGGAGATGATGCATACGTGCTAACCTTTTGCATGAGATCGCTCATTTATAATCATTTAAATGTATTAATATTAGAGCAATGTTAAGAACAAATCCAAGTGTTTTAGGCAGATTTTTTTTGTGAGAAGTTCTCCTTTGCATGCAAAAATAAATAAAACAATGCAATTGTAAGTGAATGAGACCCACTGTGCATGCTTTGGAGTTTACCTGGTCTAAAGAATAAAGTAGTAAATCTTACCGAACAAGGTGTTATTCATGTTTAGATTACATTAATATTTAAAACGATTATTTCAATAACACCAAGAACAGTGGATTGTGTTTTTACTTTTAAAAATATAGATTTTATTCTTTTTCTCCAAACAGCCAGTTCCTCAAAAGGAATAGATCTTCTGAGTTTACAGTGTCTCTATCTGGCTTTGCTTGTGCCACTAAATGGGAATCAGATGAATGTCTCCGAGATCAAAAGATTAGAAGACGTTCAAATACAATGCCCTCAAGATATGATCAAGGATCCTCAAGTTTGGCCAGTTTTTCTGACAGCATCAAAAGTACCATAAAAGATGCAAGTTCAACTGATGCTACAAAATTAAAAACTGCCTCCTCTAAGTTGATAGTCAAGAACAGCACAAGTGTCCAAGACAAGAATTGTCTGGACTCGAACACCAAAGCCACTAGAAAAGTATTACCAATAATAAAACAGAAAACTTCTGTGAAGGGAACAAAGACTCTGTCTCAAGGTGGAAATAAAGGTTTAGAGACCATACGCAAGGTTTTTTCCCACTCCGTTGGCTCTGGGTTCAGAAGTGCTTTGGCAAAAGTTTTCCGCAAGCCACCATCAGGCTCACGGCGACATAGAAGTGTAAAATCTGTGAATAAAACGATAAGTCAGCTTAATGAGAAATCAAACAAAAACAAGACTGTGAAAGACTTTGAGCAAAAACAGGAAAAGTGCCCTATCAAGCCGACAATGTCTTATGAAAGTTTGGAGCAGCTTAACTCACTAAAACATAAGCAACAGAGACAATGGCGTAGTGCAGAAGTTCTAACGAGTACCAAGCAATGGGTTGCAGTGCAAAAAGAAACAGCTGGATGGGTGGAACATGGTGGTTGGGAGGATCCGAACGGATCTTCAGATTGTGATAGTATCTTCTCATTGGATTCACTGTCATCAGCTTATGCTACAGCTCTGGCTGAGCAACTTCAGCAGGAGGAATGTGATTCCAGTGACGCTGAGTGTGAAGACAGTCAGATGTCTCAAGATTCTCTTGTTATGGAGAGCAGTGGGAAGCATGTGACTGCCAGACCAATGCTGAGGTTTAAAAAAGTTTCAAGCCACTTAACCACCCCTACAATACCGGCTTCATGCAGCTCTCAGGCAATTGGCAATAAAGAGCAGATGAGAATATCCAAAGATGTACCTGCAGAGGTTTTCTGGAGCCTTAATGGTAGTCAGAAGTTGAAAACGGAGAATGGCCAAGGCATGGCTAGAGAGCCTTCACACATCTCTTGTCTAGCATCTAAATCAAGACCTTGTAGTGGTGCAAGTATGAGAGAGACAGAGAATCTACTTGCTCTTACTGATGCTTGGTCATCTACTGATGCAGCAGACAGTCCCAGAATCATCAGGGCTTCAGGACACTTGATCAAACAGGATCCACACACACTAATAGAGAGCAGTAGATGCCAAAGCTCTACAAGCCTGGATCTATCAGACAACATGAATGCCTCAGAAAGCCAGAGCTCACCTCGTTCTGACTCCACTCAGGATGGAAATACAACACTTGAAGAACAAAACGACACATCCTTTGAAAATACCCTGTTGTTAGAGAATGATCTCAGTTTTATCCCAGGGCAGGAGAGCTATTTTAATGAACTGACTACCAATGCAGGACCATGTACAACTCACACAGTCTGCGACTCTACAGACTCTTCAGATGGGGAAGCAGACCCAAATACCCCAACCACTGAATATGAACCACTGAATCCCACTGTGACTGAAGCATTGCTGATCAACTCTTGTTCCAAAGATGGTGAGATCTCAATAAATACCACTTGCTTCCCAGTTAACTCTAGTAGGGAAGATTTACATGTTAGAGAGGAGCCATCATCATCCCCAGTGTACCCTGAGGATTGTTCTCTGAAGTCAAACTTAAACCTGACAGCAGGTTATCAGGCTTCAACATGTGACAATGCAGAAGATCCAGAAGTTAAAAACTCTAAAACAGCACAGATTCTAAATGAATCACACAACAATGCAAGCATTGCCAATGGCAAAACCATTGAACACTGTGATGAAAAAAAGAAGTACTTCTATACAAAACAGTGCACAGAAATGGCTTGCACAACAGATACCAAAGATTATGCATTGACAATCGAACAATCAGACAAGCATGGCGGAGAAGTTAATAGATTTGTCAGAAATGGCGAACACTTTGGTGTACAGTTGGAGAATGAGCCAGTCATTGGAGCATGCAAAATGAAAGACCCTCATGCAGGCTTTGTGGGAAATATGAAGCTTCCAAAGAAAAGTTATGAATATGTTTCAGACACCGAGACAGCACTTTTAAATATGGATCAGGAACTGTCATCTGCTTGTTCAACAACCAATGCAGAACCTGTAAAAAATAGATCTCTTTTGAAAAACTGGCTAACACCTGATATGATGGAAAACACTGATCAAGAAATAAAAAAAATTAACAAAAAAATAAAAAATGCACCATTAGCCAGTGATGATCACAAGACTTTAATCAGCAAAGATCACGTTAATACTTTTAGAAATGACAGTAGTGTATGTGATAGTGGGCTGACACAAACAAATTGTACTTGCCTGAAATCCACTAGGAGTGCAGAGATTAAAAACACTATTGACAACAGTACAGAGGATAGAAAATATGCAGGCCAGATTGCGGAAAGAAAGGCCGATAACCGATATTTTCAGATGAGCGACTCAGCAATTAATGATAAAATATCAGAGGTGGTGAAAGAACATTTTATGATGTCTCTAAGAGAAGACTACAGTGAAGATCAAGAGCCAAACACAAAGAAAGAAAATACTTCTTCAGCTAAACTTGATCACTTGAAGTCCAAAACAAACAAACATGAATTTAATTACAAAAGTAGTCAGGCTGGACATGGTGAGAATAATAGTTCCCAGACTTTCTCATGTATGTCAAAATCAGAGATTCATACAGACAACTCTACTGTGCACTTGGATAACGGCAATGCACAAACAGAATCAAGACATTCTTTGACTTTAAAGGACCACACAATCTTGAACTCCAGTGGCACAGAAGAGCATATTGTAAGGATGAAAGAGAAGAAAGTTGAACAAGAAAGTCCAAAATGTGGATATGTCAGTGATAACATGGAATCAGTACTATACTGCACTATACAGGAACAGAGCACAGATAAACTAAAAACAAGTGAATCAGTGGTATCGTGTGTCAAAGAAACTATTGTTGATGTGAATAGATCAAAAGAGAACATTATTGTCTGCACCCAACTGAGAAAGGAGTATGTTGATGCTTCAAACCCTGTTCAAATGAAAGATTGCATCAGCGAAGGGGATTTAGAGGGTGGTAGAGTCACAGTATTAAAACCACTGCTTCCCTGCATGTTTGCACATGATACTTTATCTCTTAAGCTGACAAATGGGTTGGAGAAAGTTCAGAAAGTAAATCACTGCTTGCACCAGAATGCACAGGTAGTTGACAACAAAACAAAACTAAATGAAAGTGCACTGATCTCTAAGGAAATGCACAATTGTGATGATAAACCACTAACCTATGGACATTCAAGACTTCTGAATGAAACTTTGTGCTCACCAAGTGAAAACTGTCTTATGAAGGTCTCAACTCCAGGAAAGTCCAGTAAATGCAGCATTCCTCAGGTGTTATTGTCCTCTGACGCAACAGTGAAACATACTGTCTCAGGTATACACTCTGAATATGTAGCTGATACTTTTCAGCAAACCATGGAGGCACAAAATAAAAAGACATGTTCATATAACTCTTCAGTATCAAGTATGGAAGATTACCACTCAACAGTGGATGGCAGTTACCCAATTCCTGAAGCCCTGCCTTTAAGCAATCTTGCATTTTATGAATTTGGTCCAGGAAATCTTGGAAAACATAATGGTTGTGTCAGCCAAGATGAAACTGCCACTATCAGTAGTAATTGTGATAAAGACAAAGAAAGACATGTGGAGCACATACTCAGCGGTTACTCTAAAGATTTAAGAAAAGACGCCACCATTTCAGATTTAAGCCAGGCACCACAAAGAACACAAATGCACAATTTGCTTAAAACCTGTGAAACTGGAAAAATCAACAAGGATCAGTCAATCTACACAAGTAATCAAATGGAAATGGTGGTTACATCTCAGTATAATGATGGCAGCATCAAAGGAATGCAAAGTTGTGATAAACAACAACTGAAAAATCAAGAGCCAAACATGCCTAAAAATCACCAGTCAACTTGTATGCAAAAAAGAGAGCCTGATAAATCTGTTGAGGTATATCGCAATGCAAAACAAACTCATTGCAGTCAAAATACAAAGGAATATTATAATAACACATGTAAATCTACAGACAGAGCAGAACATGTCACAGCAGCGAATGCTACAAAACATTTTGTTGGCAATGGTAATGATGACAGACGGAAAGGAAAACAAAAGCGATACAGAAAGGCCCACTTTATAGCACCTCCAAGTTCATCCACTGATTCTGCACCCGATTTATCTTTGGATGAAAGTACCACATCTAAAGGTCATGTGTCTCGTACCAAACCTGCTTCTCAAGCAAACCTGCTTCCTACCGGTCAAAATGCTCTTGGCAAATACAAAAGTTCTCCACTTGATGAACAAAGCATTCCTTTACCTTCAGCAATTAGTCCAAGATCATTAGAAGTACAATCAGGACAGAGATACACCCAGCAGCCTAGACAGATACTTACCATACGCAGCGAAGCTGGGATTGAGACCGTTGCATGTCAACAAGATCATGGTTCTACTGAAGAAATGCCAAAGATAGAGATGACAGAATCAAAGGGTGATAAAGACATTACTTTAAGGAAGAATGCTTCTTCCGAGGATATTTCAGTTTGTGTGGAAGACCACGCTCAGCCATTTGAGGAGACTGTCCCACAGACAAGAGATTCTGCAATGCATTTTGCTTCAAGTGATATTAACCCATTTATTCATTCAAGAACTACTGTGGCGGTTAACACAGCAGTCCACAAAAAGCAGGCCTTTGGAAGTGCAGCCAATTTATCCTGCAAACACTCTCCACTCAATAGTTCCAACAAGAATATGACAAGGTGCTGTAGTGTAGACAATGGCCTAAATATTCAGGACTCCCCTTTCAGTTCCCATTTGAGCGCATATGTAATTCATAAAGGCCTCTCTAGCACACTGAGTAGTAATGAATATTCTAGAGATCAAATTTCTTCTGAACCTTTGCTGAAGGCAGCTTCCTGTTCCTCTAGCAGTTCAAATAAGCAGACCCTAACAGCTTTGAAATGTGACTCTTACAATGGTGCTTCAGGTCAAGTTGACGAAATAGTGCTGGTCTACTCCTCTGAGTATGAATCTCAGGAACATCCGAGTCCAAGCAGGTGTGATCAAGGCACACAAACCATTGAGGTTAATAAGGACCTTAAAAGGAAGAGCCGTCACAGAAGAAGCAGCACCCAGACACCAGTGTCCAAACCAGGGAATGGTGCCCCAACCACGTGGACAAGTCTGCAGAACATGTCTGAACATCTCTCTGACCTGATACACAACACCTCTGATCTTCTGGGGAACATACAGTGTATGCGAACAGGGGAAAAGCCACCAAAATATGACCAGCCTAAACACTGTTTCCAGGTTTCATCTGGCAGTAACTACAAGAGGGACTGTTGTACACAAACTTCACTGGACATTGGGGTCCAGACAGAGAACGCTCCAAGGTCAACAAATGCTACAGCCCATGAAGTAAATGTTATTGTTAAAGTCATTGGCTCAGATATTTGTAATGTGTCCCAGCTTGATGGTGATGCCAAGATTTTGAAGAATAAATGTGAAAGTGAACAGTCCTATGAAAGGATTAAAAGCCTGCCTGATTTACGTCCCAAAAGTTCAAAGGTGACTGAGAGTCAAGATTTTCTGATTCCTCCCCAAAAGGTTCTGTCACTAGAGACTCTTGTGCCAAATCAGGATGCTCCCACTTTGGAAGCATTTGAAGGAAACACAGTAGATAATTCCTGTAAGAAGTCTTCATCCAGCTACCTTGGAGCAAAACGCTCGCATATGAAGCAAGAGGAGAAGCAGACTTGTCATAGAAATGCAGACCTAAGGAATTGCTTTAATAAACAAATTATGCTTATGGACCGTGCATGCTCCCCTATTCTTACAGTGAAGGCTGCAAGATACACCCAGCAAAGACAAGTAAAAACAACCCATGCTTCAACAAACCATAAAACCGAGGGACAAGAGAATCAGTACTCAAATGTATACAATGTGCCATTGAAAGGTCATAAAATGGCCAACCATGAGAATAAGGTACTAGATCAGGAGAACCTTTGTATCCTTCACAGTAAAAATGCAAGAACAGCATCTACATCAGCGTCATCTGTGACCTATGAAAACCTGAGTGACCTTAGTTGTCCAAATCTAGGTGGATCTGATGACTTCTCAAATAGCATCTGTCCCCGCAGCAAATGCATGAAAAATGAGAGGAATGAATATTCTCATGAAGTTGAAGACAGGGTAATAAGTAAACCCAACCATTCCCCAACTCAGCCACAAAGAATGTCCCTCTCCCCTCCAAGCAGTACCATTGGTGTCCAACGTGCATCCTCCTCCGATAACGTCAGACAATCTAAAATGGAAAACGTAGAAAGACCTCATTTTTTAACTGTGAACAGTCATTTGAGTCACAGATCTTCCGAGTATGTAATAAAGAGTTGGGATCATTCAAAACAAAGTACTGTGCAACAGCAGGAAGATGACGTGATGTCTCTGGTGCCAAGCGAGTGCAACACAGATGTTCTGGTCAGCATCAATCCTCTGGCAGAATCCAGCACACTCAAAGAACATCAGTGGATCCCTAATGTTCTGCCCATGCACAACAAATTTACTAACTGGTCTGGCATTAATCAGCAGCCACCATCAACACTTAGTAAAATTCACAGACCAACTGGACCGCACTTGACAAAGCTCAGCCCCAGTTACTGGCAAGAGCCATCAGAAAAAACAGACAGGAGAGCACAAGAAATTGAGAAGCTGAGGAAAGAACGTGAGCAGGTTTTAGCCTCTGTACATATGGATCTGAGCCCTCATCAGCTGACTGTTGAACTCACAGAGGCCAAGCTGCATTATGGCCAAGGGGAAACAGACACTCTGCTTAAAATTCTCAAGTCTGGTTCTAAAAAGGCATCTTCAGCCTGTAACAAACAGGAGCTCCTTAACAGGTCTGTTTGACCTGTGATTACATATTATTTGAAGTATTACTTCGAAGTGTACAATGAAGTTTGTACAATATTTAAAGCGGTCATGAACTGCCTTTGTTTTTTATTTTGTACTGTTCTTTGAGGTCCACTTATAATGTTATCAAGATTTTTACATCAAAAAACATAATTTAGAAGTAATAGGTTATTTTCTGTCCTGCTTTGACAGCCCTCATCAGAAATCTCTGTTTTAAGTATAAGGCCCACTGCTATAATCGGCTAACAGTTGTGTATGTTTGACAGCCTAGATCCTTCATAGATGGACGCTACTGTGATTTAGGTTTAAAACGCATAAATACTCAGTATATATCAAACGATCTGTAACAATAGACAAAGCAATAGTGACCACGTAATAAAAACGGTTACTCACACTTGTGTGGTGCGACATGACTGTCAGATCCAAAATAGTCGGCACAGCATTGTCTTTTATTTTCAATCTGTGTCAAATTGTGCCTTGTTTGTAAATGAATCCTCGATAAAATAAAGTGAACAAAGGACCAAGTTCTTACTGATGTGGTCTGGCACTTCATTACAAATAAAGTTCATCAAATAAAGTTTAGCATTTTTTTCTGCATAGACCTGTATTTGCTGCTCTTCTCATTTACCTACTATAGGCACGAATCGGTGGGCGGGGCTAAACAGGCAGTGATGTAGAAGCAGGCATTGTTCTTCTTCTGCGGAGGCGGTGTTTAGCCACACTATTACATCATAATGTGGCATATTCCACAACCTGTCGTTTTGACAGATTGGCTTCAATATAAGCTGTTTTTAGACTAACAAGAAAGTTTCGAGTTCTGAAACTTACAGAATGTTTTCATAACACAATGACCTCTTACATGTCAAAAGATCAAAGGAATTTTGATTTCTCAGTTCATGACCCCTTTAAAGTTTTTTTTTCTTTGGAAATACATTTAGGGTGCTTTCACACTAGCACTTTGATGTGTACCCAGGTTTGTTTGTCATCAGAATTTGGTGCATTTGGATGATGTGAATGCCTCCAGCAGAAATTTATGTTCTTTACAAACATTTGCAATATATTTGATCATATAGACACAAGCACATTTCTGTGTTGACGCATGGGAAACCAAACCAAATGTTCAAAAGCCGTAGTACAAAACTGAGATGAGCAACACTATGTATTTTGCTGCCGTCTCCTACATGGTCATTAACAAGCAATAAAACCTGTGGTTTAGACCCAAAAAAATATAGTGCATACACAATGCACTCAAACTGGGGCCAGGGTAGGGGAGCATTCCAACCATGGTTCAAAGCAAGCAATTGGACCAAGTGTGAAAGCACCCGTAGTTTTTAGAGCTTGTTATAAATAGAATTCTATTCTGTCATCAGGCACAGGAAGAGCATTGAAAGTTTGAGAAAAGACAGAGAAGCCCGTCTTCAGATGTGCCGTCGGGCTCGGAGCCTCAGTCCCAGTAAGCATCGGATCCCTATAAATTATGAGGAGCAATCTCAAAGAGTTTCAGACCTGCCAAGCAGACGCAGGGAATATCTGCAGCAGCTCAGACAAGAGATTGTCGAAACCAGCAGGTGATTTGGAAGTTAAACTTTAAAAGTTAAATTTCGTTGTAATATCCTAGAATTCTACATACTGAACCAGATGCTCTTTCACAGAGTTCCTGATTCACCAAGAAGGGAGGGTCAATGTCCATCTGACATTGAGCTTCTATTGCGTGACTACAGTCGAGCCCGTGAGGAGGCAAGAGCAGAGATTGCACGTGCACGAGACCGACTCCGTGAGAGGACCGAACAGGAGAAGAGACGACTACAGCAGCAAGCTCTCTCACAGGCAGTGAAGGTCAGTGACACTTGATCATTTTTAAAACTTAAAAGAATCAAGAATGATCAAGATTTGCTGTTTTAAAATAGTTTTGCATAATTTCTTTCCCTGTGTCTTATGTAGGATGACCTGCGGTTTCGCACACGCATTAGTAACAGTACTTTATGTAGTGGTTCGAACCTGAGTCTTTCCTCAGGGCCCACTTCAGGGTATAACAGCAGCAATGCTGCCTTACTTAAAGATATTACCTCACCATTAATACAGGTAAGGAACCACACTAAAAAGTTTAACATGCTTCCATAATATTTTAATTTAAAATGCTATTTTTCAAGCTCTTCGCCTCATTCCTCAGGTAAACGGAGTCTCAGAATTCAAAGTAAGGACTCGACCTCCAGTGATCCCGTTGCAGACTTCAAAAGCTCAGCGTAGATGGCTTTCAGTCCAGGGTAAGCGATAACCCATAAACAATTGAAAACCCAATGGCTATGTTTCGAATCCACTTAATTAATCAGATCTCCTATTCTCTCTAGATGTCAGCCTGGAGACATCTGTGACTGGATATGAGTCCTCCTCCACTCCATCATCTCCTCCCTGTGCTCGACAGCGCACTCTCTCCTTTGGCTCTCCTTCATCTATATCAACTTCATATCAGGATATCGCACACTGTACTCTTGCCAGTGCTATTTCTGAAGTATGCTACTTTCACGTTTCAAAATATTCAAGAGCATGTCGATATCAAATGCTTCATGGACTTGCTTGTTTGTTTCAGGTATATTTGGCCTCTGGCGGTGATGCGAGGAATCTGCTGGCTGGCAAGGCAGCTGCTGGTTGGAGGTACACTAATTTGCATATTTTGCATGTATAAGCCTCTTTAGATGTATTCCGTCCTCACGTTCCATTTCTCACCAGGCAACAAGGTGTGGAGAGAGGCGTTCAAGTCTTTCACAAGGCTACTTCCAGACCCTCAGCTCATGGGTTTCTTGGAGCAGTTGAGCTGGAGAGACCTTTGGCCAGTCTGTGGTCTATAGTTCAAGATCACTCAAAGACTCACCTGTACCACGAGTCTATTAAATCTGCCTGGACACGACCACTTGACAAAAGCACACAACTAGGTAAAGCTCAGTGCACAATATATGATTTTGACAAATTTCTGGGATTGTAAGGGATTTCTTTTGTCTTAGGGTAAAATCGTGAGTCTTAGATCATCTAGTGTCACATGTTCACTGATGGGCAATTAATGGTCTTTGTGATGCTACAATGTGACCGCACCTAAGGCTCGCATGCACTGAATAATCAGTACGTGGTTTCTGCAAGTCTTAATTGGCCTTTCCATAAATGAAGACCTAAGAAGATCATAAATCAGAGCAGAAAGTCTTAAAGGGATAGTTCACTCAATAATGAAAATTGTCATTAATTACTCACCCTCATCTCATTCCAATCCTGTAAGACCTTTGTTTATCTTCGGAACACAAAGTAAGATATTTTTGATGAAATCCAAGAGCTTTCTGACCCTGCATAGACAGCAGTGCAACTACCACATTCAAGTCCCAGAAAGGTAGTAAGGAGGATATCATTAAAATAGTTCATGTTACATAAGTGGTTCAACCTTAATTTTACAAAGCTACGAGAATACTTTTTGTGTGCAAAGAAAACAAAAATAAC